TTACGTTTTTGTGTAAGTTTGCCATTTCCTGCAAAACATTGCGTTTTAGTCCACTCTATTAATTGTCCTGTATCGACCACTTCTGGTTTATGGAGCCGTAAACTGTGCGGGTGGTTGTGTGATCATATAACCTTTTCTGTATGGGTCGACTAGTCTCTTCCTAACAGGCACTACCACATGAGCACAAAACCTTTTCATAGCCAGATCTGCAGAGGAGGTTAGAAGATTCCCTAAAAAATGGGCATCACCGAGGAGTGTAGGCTTTTCCCTAAACATGCTGTTGACCCTCCATTTGGTCAGTAATTCGCCAGTCTTTTTCGAAAGTTAATATGACGATAGCAGCAGGAGTCTGGATGAAGAAATGTCTAATTCCCTGCAATGTTATAAATAGTGGTTTATTCTTACAAACTTACTTAGTATTGCAAAATTATCAGCAATTGAGCCTAACGCGTAATTTTAACCTGCATATACGAAGAAAAGTTGGGTTTCAAAGAATCTCTTGCCTCATAATTGTAGAGCTTACTTCCATTTCGAGTGAAAATGTTCAGCGAAGAGATTCGCAGGTCAATCTCACCAAAAGACGACAGCGGATTCCTCTCGACCAGCTGTCGATTGGCTTTACTGAAACGGTGTTTCCGAGGTAATCTCCTTCGATTCCGGTGAATAGGTGATAAACTTTCGTGCTCAGTATGACGAACATCGCCAGAGCAGGGTATTATCAGTACAACCAAATTCGGGATAACGAGTCCTAAGTTACTCTCCTTTTCCAATTCCATAGTGGATGAAATCGTCCCTTCCAATCTATTCCTTAATTTAAGCATCAATCTAATAAGGCATTTTTTGACACCAGGCTTCTCTTTATCTTTCAGGACTGAGGTTCATTCTGTCATACCACCTAAAATACCACTTAATTGCTGGATTTCATTCTTGCAAGAGCTTCAACGCAAGGTCAAGAGGAGTAACTTGCTCTACGTTACATGCTATATACATTTACAGCTACAAAATAATTATATATATATATGTATATATATATATATATATATATTTATATTTATATTTATATATTTATATTTATATATATATATACACATACATATAGTTTTGCATAAAGTTATTTTGGT